CAACCCACCAACCAAACAAGCACACACACACATACACAAGCGGTAACAGCATCGATACTGTACCACTCCCCCATCGCCGCCACCGCCACCGCGACCGCTGCCAGCACCAACACCACCGCCACCGCCTGGCCACCAGCACTACGTCAGCACCACCATTACCACGAGCACCAACAGCACCCCCGAGCAGCCACGACAGTACCAACCTTTACAACGACGACAACCTCGGTCACAGCAACAACAGCAACAACAACTAGTACTAGTGCAACAATCCCCCTCCAGTATGCTTACCAAATCCGGGCCGGGCAGTGGCAGCTTCTCGGCTCCTGAACTTGAATGGCCGCGGAAGTTGCAGAGGCCCGCGCTCCCTCAGCGGCGCAAGTGGCCGAGGCAAAACAGCCGTTGTTTGAATGCAGGTCGATCCGCCAACGCCATTGCTCCTGTTACGTCGTGGCCTCAAGAAACTGATTGCAAACTTCGTTGAGCTACCATACAAACACCATGGCCTGTTCCCGGGAGCTTTTTGATCCAACATCACCTCCCGGAATTGAACATACAGAAACCGCGAACCTCGGCAATTCTGAGTGCTAAGCTCCGTGCACCCGCCCACGCCCCACCTAGTTTATGTTAGATCAAGAACGCCCCCGCCCATGCCATGTTTAGGGCTTAGAGTTTGTCTTTTCAGTGTTAGACTCTTGAAAGTGCCTCCCTGCGACCGTCGCCTCGATTGGAACTTCCACTTGCTTGCTGGACAAATGTCGCGTGCAATTTCTGACGGAGCATCAGTTGTTCTGATGGAACCAGTGTGGTCCTTCCAGTCATGTTCTTGCATATGCCGGTGCAATGCGAGCCACAATGCATGCTGCACAACGTTTGCAAGCTCCGTGGCGCATTTGTATTGCAATGCAGCCCTCTAGGATGTTCGCCTGCCACGTGCAGCCCGCTACAGCATGTGTTTAACTTGTAACTTCCCAAACCCTAAACCCTGACCCCTGAAAAATCTTCTTCTTTAATCCTAAACCCTAACGACAAGGACACACCAACCAAACCAGCATGGGCCTCCGTTGGAAGCCATGGAGGCACAACTGCGGCGATATATATCTAATGCTCGGACTGCAAGCCACGTGGCTGTATTATATAAACTTTCTTTTCATGACTCCACTGATGTTAACAAACATACAACTGTCAGGTTCTCTGACGCATCGGGCACCACGTGAACACTTCAGCTGGCGGCTGCTCTCCAAGAATGGTGCTACCATTCTTGCAGCCAAGAGGGCCTTGAAGGCTCCGTCAGAGTACAGAACATCGCACATTCGTATCTAGCTTCTTGCCCCTCAGGACATGCCGACGGCCCAACCAGCTTTGTGCAAGAAACAGGTTCGACAGTTCTACCAACTGGCGACCGCTAGACTACACATGCTGCATCGCTGGCTCGCGACTCGTCTCGAGAAATGTATGCCCTCTGCTGCTTTGCAGGCATTCCGTTGCTTCTTCTTCAGCCAAGGACGGCAAAGCCGCCCTACTTCCTCTGCCTTACAGCGATTGCAAACCTGCGAAGTTAACAATGTGTCCTGGTCGCACCTGTTTGTTGTGCATTCAACTGCAACTACATAATACGTTCAAAACATCAACCTGCTACCTAGGTTGTCCGTATAGCAGATCGCTTTTCCCGGTCCTTATACGGCTGGCGACGGCTTTCTTTTGCAACCGCCGTCCTGAACATTGTCTTGCTTCGCTTTGTCGCAGTTGCGCAGGACCAGCACAATACTTGCAATGTTGAGCCCTGCCAGGAATCCTTCCAGCTACTGCTTCGCGCATATGGCGGTCCGGCCCAAGCATCCGGATACATAAGCTGGCAAGGACTAAACACTAGCAAACTGCTGGCCGTGGGGTTTCCCGGCTTTACACAGACGGGTCCATCGATGTCCGCGCCTACAAGCTTCTTAGTTGCCTTATCTCACACTTCCTGTTCGTGCTGGTCGAGAATTCAGCTTCATAGAATCTCCAGCCCATTCTGAGGCCTTTTGGGCGCTACAAGACAGCACAGACATGTGCACGCCTTGCCACAACTTGGTTAAAGACTTCGTGAAGGCTCGTTATGTTGCTCTAACTGCCCTCATTGTTGCTGCCTAGCTCTGTCTGTGCCGCGCTATACATTCACCTTGCTCTGCGAGGTGCTGCAGGACGAGTCTTCTGCCGTGTATGCCTGGCTCGACACAAGCAACTTCAAGTTTGCAGCCTACTTGGCGCGACACTAAGTCCTGTGCCCTCACGCAACGTCGCGTGCTCCTTTACAGTACAGCTTCGACTCCCCGCAATGAGTCAAACACAGACCTCGCCGTCCTGGGATTTCGCGACTCCAACGACGTGCCCTTGCTCGTGGGCAGCGGCTGCGCATGGCTCAGCCGGAAACCGTCGACGAACGAGTTGAGTACCCTTTGTTGCCCTGTCCTTTCACGGTTTAAGTTTAGGGTTTAAGGTCCTGACAAGGACTCTTCATGCCAAAGCAAAGAATCACGAGATGTTCGTCATCGCACTTCGCACTCTGGGCCTGGACTTGGCTGATTGGACGATTCATGACACCGAACACTGGCTCTGTGAGACCCGCAAAGTCTTTCAGAATCGTTGCCCCTTGTTTGCACAACATACTTTTTGGGCGCCTTAGCTAATCGTACCCTTTCACAGCAAATACCACTCCTTGCTAGGTCTGCCTCTGTACAAGCCCCGGGCGACCAACGAAGCTGCACGCAGCGTTGTGCGTCGCTTCCTGTGCCACATGCGCCGTGTCCGAGTACGTCACACACAGGCACGGATTAACAATTTCATTGCCAGTCTGACTTTTGTCCAAAGACTCGAAACAAGCTGGTTTACGTTCGAGCGGAAATTCGCATCGCTTTACTTTTCTCGCTAGTTTCTTGGTCCACGTGCCGCATCAACAGGACTATCGGCCTCAAGCTGCACCAAAACGCAGACGGTGATCTGGTGGAAAGCCTGAAACTTTAAACCCTAAATCCTAAACCTTAAACTCCAAACCCTTCACCCTAAGCTCTAAACCTTACACCCTGTTCCGGCATTACCTCAAGAATACCACATAAGTCATGCTGGATCGCAAAGCCATGTACGCTTAGTCCGTCGTGCTGGGTGGACGCGCCTGCTTGCGCCTTGAAGCCTAGTCTCACGGATACAGCAATCCTTCCAAAACCTCCAAGGAATTGGAGCCTCCAACTACATAATCCCCCCTATAAATCTTATTGCGAATGCTCACGGCAGAGCATACTCATGAGGCAATTAACTTTCCGACAGACCGTTGACCCTCCGCAGTGAGTTCTTGCATAAAGCCCGAGAGCCCAACACACCAAAGCTTTAAACGCCCCTGAATTCAACTTTCGAGCCTCCGGCCAAGTGCAAAGCAATCACCTCGTGGCAAGTACGCCAAGACATCCTCCACAGTCTCGAACAGCCACGCGGGCGTGAGTCGTGCTTGGAGTCTGCTGTGCGAAACAAACCTCCCAAACCCCAGGCCCTAAAAACCCATGGTCCAAAACACGTGCCACATGGCTAGGATTCGCTTCGTTTGACATCCAGAATGGGGCAGTTGCTTTGCAAATCTTCTGCTTGCAAAGCAGATTCTCTGGCCTGTCGCAAAACAGCCTCCTGGCCCTTCATAGCTTCGATTCGCAGGTTGGCGGGTCTCCATGACCTGTGAGTTCAGCTTGAGATCGACAGATTTTCTGCTACTTGAAACATTCAGGATTCCAAATGCAGTCCCGCCTTTACACAGCCCCTCGATAGCGCATCTCGATCTGCGCTGGAGCTACTTGGCAGAATCGTACGATTTTATGCGGAACTGTTCCTGTTTTTATGCCAGAGCTGCAAGGAACTTTATGCCAGAGCTGCAAGGAACGTTCTCCTCGCAACAAGCTCAACAGACGGCAGCCTTCAGTGAAATTGCTCGATTTCGGCATAGACTCCCTCAGCTCCATCAGCCAAGGAAAAAGAAAGCCTCTTGCATGTTCAGCTGCCGTATCCCCCGTCGTGCCTAAATTAGAGCTTTCGTCCCAGCCCGTGGCTCTCAAGTACTGCTACTGCTACTGCTACTGCTACTGCTGCTGCTGCTGCTGCCGCTGCTGCTGCTGCTACTACTGCTGCTGCTGCTGCTAGTGCTGTTGCGAGTGCATGTGCTGGTGCTAGCGCTAATGCAAGCGCTAGTGCTAGTGCTGAGGGCTAGTGCGCTGCTGCTGCTGCGCTTGTAGTGATACTGCTACCATTGTTAACAAGAGCAGAATAACACCACTAGGGTGGCGACAGAGCCGACTTCTCCGAGCAGAGCGAAAGGAGTTTTACGTCTCGCAAGCCTTCGACATCGGCAACGCCGTTGAAGGAGCAAAGGAAAGCGACTGTGAGTTGGCGAAGTTGTGATCAAAGCAAACCGCAGTAGCAGGAACTTGCATGAAGTGTCAGGGACAGCAGGTGTCAAAACTGAGGAGATAGAGCCTTAGCCTGAGCAGGAGCTAGCACTAGCAATTCTTGGTATATGATTTCGGAGTAATGTTGATCGTGAGCAGTGTGCTTGGCCCGCACCACCCTGAGCCCCCAGATGCAGGTGTAGTTGAGTTTTGTACAGGTGCCTTGGCGCACCAGTTACAAGAACGTTCATGAAGTCTTTGACAAGAGAATACTGCTCTAGTACGGTGCAAATTGTATCTCGACCACAGGCACGAGATCGAACTAGGATTGAGGGCTGGGCCCCAGTCCCACGGACTCCGCACTCGAGCGAAGCCTTCCACACCAAACATGCTGTCACCCTCAGCCTGAACCATTGGTTGTCCAGTTGAAGAACTTCCTTGTGCCTCCGGACCGTTAGCAAGTAGTTTTGGTTTGTCATCCCCTTGACGCTTAGGTTCCTATCTAGTTCGTGCTCTTCCTGCATGGGACAATCATCAGACCATACGAGACCTAAACCCTGAACCCTGAAGTGCTGGCTTATTGTCGCGACGGCCAAGGTTGTCGGAGACAACCTCTGGCTGTGGCGCGCTGACCACGCTTTGATAGATCCGAACGCAGGAAGCCTGGGCCGGCCCATGAGTTCAGACATTTTGGGGTTGAGAGGCTCTGTTTCGCGTGTGTTGCTGGGGCGCTCACAGCTCGCGGTCTTGCCGGCAAGACCAGCACCGAAGTACGGATTCATTCACTTTGAGTTAGAGGACATCGGGCCTCAAGCCAAAGCACAAACAACCAGGAAACCCTAAACATCCCTAAACCCGAAAGCCCATAGCCCAAGATCCACACCCTAAACCCAGCCCGGCCAGGCTCGCCACTGTAGCAAGGAGGCCACAAAAGCCTGAGCCCTCATTATCAGAATCCAGGAGAGCAGAAGGACCCGCAGAATTCTGCGGCACGCATGGAAGACCGCGTGGGGCCCTTACTTTGGGCTCAGGGTTTCGGAATCTACGAACGAAGAGACAAAATTGCACCCTTTCCAAAGTTTCAAGTCTCATCTTCGTGTTCACAGGTTGTATAGTCACGCGCTCGTCCTCAAATGAATGAGCTTCATTGCCATTGCCGACGTCCTGACTGATGTCACGCTCAGTATTGCTATCGCGCTTTCATCCTTGCCATCCACCATATTGCTGTGGATGTTCTCGTCGGCGCCACGACCTCAGCCTCAGCCTCATCCTCATTACCGTCATCGTCACCGTCATTCATCACCGTCATCGTCATCATCCATCGTCATCGTCGTCATCATCGTCATCGCCAGCAACAACAACACTCCCTTTCGTCGAGTTGGTACACACTTTCTTGTGCAGCTGTTGCTGCTGCTGCTGCTGCTGCTGCTGCCATCGTTGTTCCTGCTTGTGACTATGTCGGTGATGGAGGTGTTACTGTTTCCGCTCCCTTTGTTGTCGCCGTCGTTCTTGCTAGTTTCGTTTTGCTTCCTGTGCGCTGCTCTTACAGTGGTTGCCTCTGTTGCTGCCTCCCCGGCAGTGCAAGACCCGCCTGTGTGCACTTGGGCTTCCCGGATCAGGCCACTAGCCTAAAGCAAGAGCGGATGAGCTTGGAAGGTGCCCAAGGCGAAAGAGTACTATCTCGTAGCTTCGGGCGACTATCCGGCCAAGGCTCTTTCCCGGGCGTTTTTGCAAAGGTGCTGTTGGTGCTTGCAGGTCAGATGTCAAAGTTCCGGGGGCTGTAGCAGCCTCGCTTCGGTATCATCTTTGTCGTGCAGGGTTCAAGGATTCCAGGATTGAGGTGGCCCGATTCAAACTCCGGCGGGCAACTGTCACATTGTGGCTGCCGGGACTTCTGGGCCAGGATTTGTCGAACATGTGTCAACTTGAACCACAGGCTTCAGCTGTAGCTTCATTGAGCCAGTCGCTTTGCCTGAGTTCCCGTGTGTCGGGCTTCTGTCAGTTCTGCCGAAGTCAATGGGTAAGTATCCGAAAGTATTGCAACTCCACCACATATGCCCGCGCATCCAATCCCCTAGTGTAGCTACTCTCGACTGCTCCAGTACATTTCGTTCAGTCCACAGGACCTGTTTTGAGACAGACGACTCATACTTTAAAAACGACGGTTCCTCTTCAAGTACGTTTTCGTTTCACATGTTGCATCATCCTCCTCGTCCTGAACTCACTCTTGATCATGGTTCAAAAACATCTTTCAATGACAGGTCGGGCTGAAAGTCTCCGGAGATCAGGTCACCATCTATGGGTCTCTCGGATGCTCAGCTACGATTCTGCGAATCATGGAGCAGTTATTTGATGCTCCATCGTGAATCTTGGTACGACCTGTGGTTATCCATGTTGCACTCGTCGTGTGTCTGCACTAGGACTGCAAATTATTTGGAGCATAAACAGTTGGGCTGTTATGGGGAGGCTTGTGGAGTTTCCGAGTTCGCCGAAGTCATCTAGACCAAAAGCATGCGAAGCTCGCGACGGCAAGGTTAGCCGTCGAGCACTTTCTCGAGGACAACACGCTCTGGCCCCTTGACCTCGCTTACGAGATTGAGGGTGTAGGTGTCATTTGTTTCAGTGTCAGTGTCAGTGTTGTCAGGCCCCGCAAGCATAGCCAGTTTCAGTGTTTCATTGCTATGACATATGGGGGCTGTCCCACTCGTTCAACTTCAGTGACAGAATCTCGCATGTTTTATATTTTTTGGGGCTGCCAGGGATTCAGACGGGTTGAGCCTACAGTAGGGGTTTCAGGTCTGAGGCCTCCAAACATCTTTAGATCGCGGCGAGGACTTGCAAAATCTGATGTTTCATGGCTTGGATGGCGACAACTAGTTTCCTGCCTGTGGTTGGCGGCACAACGGCAAGGGGTCGTAGTCGTAGTGGACCGGCAAGGCACGACCTATTCCCAGAGCTTCCTGTCGCAACGCCCAACATGTGTCGACATGCTCAACTGCATGGGTACGAAAACTCAGACACCTTGCATAGTCTGCGACAGCTAAAGCTTGAGGATGGGCGAAGGCGGCGCTGTGTACTTCTACCAGAATGAGCTGCCCTATGATGTCGACCAGGTGAGAATCTCGTGATGCTCTCTGAAGTCTCACGCCTCTGAGAGCGAAAGCAATGTGGAAGGCATCAGGCCGTTAGAGTCGAAGTTTTGAAGTTTGACGAGGATAGGTCGGTCATCTGCGGGAGTGAAGCTTGAAGTTCTGTGCTTGCCTCTGCCGGGGTAAATTTGTTTAACCCTGTTCGCCTCTGCGCACCCTCTGGCATTGAAGGCCAACTTTGGCGATAAGGGCTTTGCCGGCTACAAGGCGCTTTAGGGTTTCGCTTGCCCGTCGCATGGCACCGGAAGTGTGCGGTAGCCCCTTCGAAACCTGGGGGACAGGGAAGAAGGAGACTGTTGCAGCCCTGATGAAGGTAGCTCCGCATGTACGGACGCACGAAGCGCAGGGCATGGGCCAGGACCTCAGTTTGCTTCCTCGGATTTGGAAATCAAGTCAAAAGACTACATGGAGCGTAAGCAGTTCGAGATGTTGAGATTGTTCTGTTGAATGGGTCGAAATCTTGTGATCTTGGCACACTCATTCCAGGGTTGTTCAAGATGGTTAGCCTTTTGTCTGAAACATGATGTTGTCCGCACTCCAAGTCGTCAAAGGCGTTTACAGCTACTTCCGTGACTTCAAGTGCATCGTGAACAGTGGCTTCGTTGCTCCGAGCACCGATGGTGAAGCCTAGCAGCACTGGCGAGAGATTGAGAGATGAATTTGGCGCTCAAAGCACGGCATGGCAGGTACCTAAGCAGCTGCAAGTCTGTTTCCGGCACGTGCAGTTCTGCTCTTGGCGCTTTCACCCTTTTCTTCGTACTTAGTACTCACATCACTTACATGGTGAGAACCCATTGCCTTTCTTTTGATCTCATTCACATCGCGTTATGTGGAGTCTGTTGCAGCTTGTGCCTGCGTGGATGGCATAGGAATACTGCTTATACACAAGAGCGAGTTGCAGACCCTCCTGCCTGGTGTCCTGTTCGCCTTTAAGGTACGTTTTACCAACATCTTCACCCGCTTCCTGAATGGCAAAGCAGGCCCGATCAGAATTGGGGTGATCCAGTGCTTGCTTTCTTGTTCTAAACATGAAAACGGTGCTCCGAACTCGACAGAGGTTTAAACGGTTTGACCAGTTGCAGAGGGTTGCAACAGTGACGACAGCGCTTACTTGCTTCCGGCCTCGTGCACCGTCATTGCTGAGGCTTTCGGCCTGAGCCAGGAATGTTCATCCACAGTGAATCTCAGGTAGACGGTTGCAACACTCCTCTGTGTGACCCCTCCGTTGTCAATCTGTGGAAAGGGCATCATAAGCAAGGTCTGCCATGTTTCAAGCATGAGGGCATGTCTCGTTCAAGTCGTGATGGCTTGTGCAAAGTCTAGACATTTGGGAATCAGGACGCTTCACGAGGCATGCATGGAGTTCCGAGTTCTGTGCCAGAGTTTGTTCATGTAGCTGCCTTCACAAGAGTGCCGAGCATGAGGACTTACGGAAATCCCACCACCGACCAGAGAGAAGCGACAACCTCTCCAGGCATCGAGCACGTCCTGAACGATCAAGGCGGATCAGTGATGGGCTTTTCCGACCCCCTGAGCGACTGGGATGTTGTTGGACGGGAGGGTTTTTGGGTCCAGGGTTTCTTGGCCTCATGCTTCGAAAACTGTTACTTGTAGGGCTCCAAGAGGTCCCCTCCTCAACTCCAAAAGCACGGCCGAAGCAGACGGTAAGGTCGACTCGTGACCTCCGTGCCCGGGCCTCCGCTTTGTCCTTCGATGCCTCCGATGCGCCCTCCAGGCGGACAATAAATAAATAAATAAATAAATATATATATTGTTTTTATATATCACATATATATATATATATATATATATATATCTTACAGGGGCCTCTTGAGACGGCAATAGCACAGGATTCCGAGAGTCCTCGAGTCGTCGAGTGCTGTTCCATCGTCGGCGTCGGAGTACCCTGGGGGCGGCGGGTATGTCGTGTCTGTGGACCAGATGCATGTTGTCCCCACGTCTTCGAGTCTCGAACTGCGTCATCTGTCGGTGGTGTTTGAAACATTTGGTGACTGTCCCGGAGCTGAGCATGTGCCGGGGCAGGCGTGTCTCCAGCACAGAACGCATCTTCTTGACTTAGTGATGTGTCTTCAACCTTGTTGCAATGTACATACATCCGGGGGGTGAAGAGCTCCCACATTTTTCTCACGAGTTGTGCTGTCTACGCGAGGTGATTTTCGGCCTTCCGGTTTCAGGTAGAATTGACCGGTGGACTTGAATGTCGAAGTTTGTAAGTGCTACGCCCACTACGTGTGAGATTTCAAGGGGCTTGTCTTGGCAGCCAGAACTTCAAGAAACATAGGAGCTTACTGCCATCAGGATGTAGCAGGGGAACTCCAAATGCCGGGCCACCATCGTGCAAAAGGACAGAATCCCCCATGAAAATTTCCCCCTCAAAAGTCTCTGTCTCGCCAGGCTCGCCCTTTTGGAGCTACCTCTCGGTGGCCCTGGCCTCCGCCGCTGTAGGCTGGCTGGCTTCAATGGCATTCTTCCGCTGGCGAAGAGGCACCGCCGGTTTAGGGTTTAGGGGTTCGGGGTTTAGGATTTAGGGGTTTAGGGGGTTTCGGGGTTTAGGATTTAGGGGTTTGGGGGTTTAGGGGTTTGGGCTTCAGGGTGCAGGGTTGTCAAGCTTGGTGCCTTCAAAAAAGTTTTTTCAGGGTTCTGGACTAATGGCTTGGACGGGCCATGCCTTGCTTCGGGCATCTGGCTAGAGAAGGATTGCAATTTTATTTTGAGGTCTCAGACACCACCTCGCTACCAATCGCAAACAATGCCAGAATTCTATGGATGGAGACAGCGGCAGTGCCGGCCAAGGGTTTTCAGGAGTTGGGGCGACACCAGCACCAAACCCTGCAGTTCTTTAATGATCCCGGACCTGAGCCCCACCTGAGGAACACATCTTTCCGAATATGTGCAACATCTGGAACGGAGAGACGCAGTTCAAGAGAAAGGATCTTTCGTATTCGTTCCAGCCCGGAAGGTCAGAGCCTCTGCCCACGCAGCTACGACTCGACGGAGTCTGCAGACGAGAGCGACTACGAGAAGTCTTCCTGAACGTCCTGCGTCAATGACGCGTAATATACTCGCAACTTCAAAGAGGGTCCTACCCATAGCCGCACTGGGATCACTAGTGAGCATGGACAAAGTCCTGCGTGACCATATACGAACAGTCAAAACCATGGCAATTACGAATTCTAGAATAAAATTTGCAGGATTTTGTCTATGGAACCGGCGAGGCCGTGGCCCAAGGGCGGCGCCGGCTTCGAGACAGGAACCCAACCTGGCAGAGACTGAGTTGCGCTCGTATGTGGTTTAGCCTTAAGGGCCAGCAGTCGGCGCCTCCGACCACGACCTTTCATTGGTACTGGTAGTCTCATTACGACTTCAATCATATCTGCTGTCTGTAGTCTTGTCAGCGGTCGTACGCAGTCCTCAATGCTAAGCTACTAGCAAGCCACATACCCGCAAAACGAGTATCGATGTGAAGCGATACGATGAAGATGAACGGCAGCAGCAATTAGCAATTAGCAATTGTTTGTGCATAGCCGCGGACAAGCCGAACTTCGACATCGGCGTCCGCGCTTTCTTGCCCCCAGCTCCGATACCAGTATAGTGGAAGCAGCAGCGCCCACAGCGGGGAGGAGAACTTCTTTTGTGCAGGGCTTCATGATACGTCCTAGGGCCTGCAGTTCGACAACCGGTATCCCAGATTCCTCAGGTCCTGAAGCCTTAGCGCTGGGCCGCTGTGCCCTGTAGTCTCGGACGGATGAGCTTCCAGGTTTTAATAACTTTAATCGTTTCTGACGGCAGAATCAAAAAGGCGTGACCTGCTTTCTTGGCTTCTTTCTTTCTCTCTCTCTCTCTCTCTCTCTCTCTCTCCTCTCTCTCTCTCTCTCCTCTCTCTCTCTCTCCTGTCTCTCTCTCGCTCTCTCACTCTACCTCTCTCCACCGGGGATGGTCCCTAACCTGACTCATGGATAGTCTGACATGCTTCGATTCGGCAAATCACTGCTGCAAACGAAAGGCGGAAAACAGTCATCGTGATGGCTTCACAAGCAGCTTTCCGGATCGATCCTCACCCTGTCGGCAATCTTGTAGCCTGTTTGCAGATCGGTTGGACGTTGGGCTTGCCAGCCCACTTCGCTATCTTTGGGTTGACATCTTCAAGAACCTGCCAAGGTTTCCTGTTAGATCCGGTACTCGCTGGTCCTTCTTGACTCCTGTCACCTGTCACTGCTTTGGGTTCGAGGTTGTCACATCCAGTGCTCTCCAGCACTGACAACCAAAGCAGGCTGTCAACAGGCAACATGATGATGCCAGTGATGCTGATGATGACGATGACCACTGTTTCGATATTTTCGATGTTGATAATGCAGAAAATTGAAAATGATGGTGATGATGATGACGGTGATGCTGAGAAGCACGAGAACACCTGTCAGTAGTCGAGATCCAGAACATACAGCAGTAGTGGCAGCAGCGAGTGAGTGAGTGAATGAGTGAGCAAGCATGTGAGCGAGCACTGAATGACAACAGCAAGAACAAGAGTAGTCGTGATAGGTATAGGCCTGTGCCAGCAATCCTGCAACGTTGGCAGTATCAGATACAGTAATCTTAAAGCTAGTGCTGAGACCCTAGGACAAGTTTGACTCACGATGCTACGTACAGAATACGCGAACGGCATCAGGAACTGATCAAGCAACAGCGAGCAAAAACATTCGCAGGACTTGTACCTCAGCCTGGTGGAGCATGGTGGAAACCTCATGCTGCCAATCTCGGTTCCCGACTTAGCCGAGGATATGAGGTGGACTCAATGATGGGGGGCAGATGACAGAAGTTGATGCCTGACCTAAAGGCAGCATACAAGACTTTTCGAAGGCTTCTTCTACTTATCAAAGCGTGTGTATTCGCGCAGGGTTCGAGATCTGAACTCCATGACCCCACGCCCATGAGCGAGGCCCAGGGGCGAATGGCTAGGAGCCACCTCCCTCAACAGTCGGAGCCTCAATTGAGATTGCGCCCTGCATCAGCTTGGTAAGCCATGGGGTGAGTCGCTTTACCAGCACACAGGCCCTAGGCCGCTACGTACCTCGCATCACAAAAGGCAACCGGTAGTCCATCGAGTCACCAGAGATGCTGCAGAAGTGGATCAGGTGGGACAGCGTCGTGCGCTACGCGGAGAGCTCCATGCGCCCTGCAGGCCCTGGCAAGACTGGGGCAGAGTGTGCAGAACAAGACCAAGTAAGCATAGCAAGAGCGTGACAACAATAACGGCAAGGTTGAAGTGACTACCTGCATCTAGGGAGGTCCAGCACGATGTTGGAGAGAAACCGTTTGATCCCTCCGGCCCGTGAATGGCCAAGCCGTGCACCCCATCAAGGGTTCCCTTCACTTGGAGACGGGATGAGACGATGAGACGATGTACGTGAAAGCCGAAGTCGGACAACCGGAAGTTTTCTGCATGATTTGCTCAGTACCGCCAACACCGTAGATGTAGACCATTGCGCACGCATATTATTCAGTCATCTGTTGCTCACTGCTTGTCTTTTGGATCCATTGGCTTCCGTCTTTGCAACAGGCTCTGTTGCGCGCTATTGATGCACAGTGTCCAGCCCTCGGTTGTCAATAAGCCGTCAGGCTGTGAATCAAATTTACTTCAGCGTTCTTTCTTCGAGTTCGGAGATTTGAAACTTTTTATGAGTTTCGGGAGTGTGCCGGAGCATTGGCTAGACCCAGGAATGTCTGCACATGAGGACAAGGCCGACTTGGTAAATCCTCCGGACACTCGGAATGCATACTCTTGGCCTTTGCCACGACTCCTTTCGTCAAACCTGGGATTGGGCTGGGGTCTGTCGCAAGGGTCCGCGGGTGAGTCACGATGTTGGAAGCATCTAGCTTAGCTCGAACAAGTTGCATCGTTCCGGAAAGGCCCAAAGGACAGTCTACTTTCGTCACTTATTTGTGATCAGGTCTTGGCCGAAGCCTGGGCTTGCAGAAAGTGCTGCAAGCTGGGTGCCATGTGGCTTCATGCTCTCGATATGAGATCTCCGGCTCGCTCCTGTCATTGCATTAGAGCATCTTCGTGAGTGGAAGGAGGTTCAAGCCTTGAGCACGTCGTGCAGGGCGTGCTGCAATGCTCGACCCGGAATGCTACATCCTTGTCGCTTTTACACAAGATTGGCCCAGGATGATCCCATGACGTTTATCGTTTTGACTCTTCAAGAAAATGCAGCAACAGGAAGACCGATCGTGCCGAGTCTGCTGCGCAATGTAGAGAGAGCATGGCATGCTCCCCGGCTTACCTGGTGTCATCAGTCATGCTTTACACATCCTTTTCGCCGAGGCAACAGGAAGTTCGGATTACAACCTCGATGCGGTTTGATTTCATACTCTGTGCTTGCGGTCTGAGGTCCCACTGATACATGTCATGAGGCTTGAGGCAAGAATGAGCTTGGCTTGATGCATCTTGCATGACAGTTGACGGTTGACGCGACCGCTCCGAAGCAGGCCATGTAGCTGCTCAAAGGGGAGCCTCATCCATATGTGCACGCAAACCCTTGACAACGGTCGTGTGATTGGGGATGCCGGATTCAGTCCTAGTCGATCAGAACAGCTTTGCAGCAATGACATCGAACCGGCCTTGACACCGAACAAGACGCGATCAGCAGAACATCAAAGCTAACGTTAGCTAGTGACTGTGACTGCGGGTTCCCCGAAGCCTTGCCCACTGCTGCCCCGGAGCCATGATACCCCAGAGATCTCTGCATTCATAAGGGCGGACTTGAAGATTTCTAGCAGTAGCTATTTAGCTTAGAGGGGATCTCGTAGGGAGACCAGGGCGCAGGATCCACGGGCTCGGCTCTCGCTGGGCCTACGCTGCAGAGCCATGGCTCGGCTGGCGCTGCACCCTGGCCGAAGTTGCGTTCGCTTCAAAGCTTTCAACATGAATCTATGGTTATGGCAGTTATGGCTACTGATGATGATTCTGAATTCTGAGTAGCTGAAGTTTATGAGGCACTGCTGCGTGGGCGTGGAATCTAGTGCGTAGAGTTCTCTGACCCGGGGCCTCAAGCTTGAAGCCTCACATCGTCATTTCTGAAGCTCGGGAGTGTCTGGGAGATCTCTTACGGGAAGCTCCAAGGAATCTGACTGCTGGCATCACCGAGTTTTCGAGTGCAGAGCTCAGAGCCTGGCGGCTAACAGTTCTGCAGTTTAGGCCTGAGCAACGGAGGCGGAGCATCCAGGAACTGTTGGAGTCAGTCAGCACGAACAGCCACCGAATGCAGCAGCGCATAAGCGCTTGTAGCCGCCTGTGTGGGTCAGAAGTAACTCGGCAAGGATTCAAGGACAACCATGACAACGCTCTTCTCTGTCATACCGATGAGCCAGTTCAGATGAACAGCAGGTAGTAGGTATTGTCAATGATACTGATAATTACTTAATTGCCGTGATCACGCTAGTTGCTGTCAGCATGACACCGGTTGTTACACTGGTAATGATGCTGGCGCCGACGATGTACAGATGGGCTCTATAGCGATGTTTTTCATTACTGTCGCAAGCAGAGGGTTTCATCACATATTGTCTCATATTTATTTGTACGCATGTTCTCAGCATCTCGGAACCACAGAGTCAACATACCTGCATCCTGTGAGACCAGCATCATAGCCACCCTTTCACCTGTGGGGCATGTGTGTACATATAATATATACATATATACATCTACCTACGTATGTACAATCCTGTGTTTTGTACACATAGTTTACCACACAATCAACGAATTTACGTATTTCTGCCGTGGTCGCTTTGGGCCAACTTCTCGTTCAGGCCGGATGTCGCTGAAGAGCATGTTCTCGCAGTTCGGTGAGGCCAGTGCCTCGGATCGCTGGTTTCACCGAGAGAACGAAACGTGCCGCTGGCCGCCGGAAGCGGCAGGGCACTGCCTCGGCTTCCACGATCCCGTTTCGGTCGTTCCAAGAAGCAGTGTTCTCTTGGCATTGGCCCTCAGTGCCAGGTCCAAAATGAAAGTCCCAGCTAGGATCCGCCGGGAGGAGTGTCCCGAACCGGAGTGCTACAGCAAAGAAGGGAATTCCCGGAAGGATCACCGAAACGACTTCCCTGACACGAAGCAAGTCCACACAAATAGGAAAAAAGAATCAGCCACATCCAGGGCTGGATGAGTTTCCAGTACATCTTGCCTGACGCCTAAGTCTAAACGCTGGAACGCAAACGCTGGAACGCGAGCAAGACGACGGACAAGCAATCGATGAAACAAACAAGTGGCATCAACAGGCACATTAGTGGCAGTGTCGCTCACCTCCAAGCTTGATTGTTGCGTAAAGTGATGCAGGTAACACTTCCAACACTTTCACCTTGATGCATGATGGCGAGGTGACCTCCTGCTGGGTGCCGCCAGTGGAAGCGCGCAGGAAGGAAACAGCTTGGGTGAAGCCTGGGCCTTGTGCTGAAGAACTTGCGGAGCTCCGGCCAATCCCGTCCAGGATCAGGGAGGGTTCCCTGGTTATCCTCGTGCTGCAGCGGGGTGGGAAGCAAAACCTGAGTTGCGAAGTTCTCGACCATGAACATGCTTACATGTTATGACCAGGGCTCAAGAACATCCCGGCCGTCAGTATGCTGCGGCTCAGACTCATCACCGCCGTTCGCTTGCCAGTCCCAGCGGCACCTGCCTGACTAAATAATAACAGTAAAATAATATAATATAGTATACTAATATAGTATAATATACTATAAGAATATACTAGAATACTCATGTCATCCTAAAAGCAGCCTGAGGTTCCAAACCGGCGCGCAAGCGGAGGCACGTGTGGATCGGAGTCGGGTGTTGTTGATGCCAGCGCAGGTTAGTCATGGATGCGGAGCGGTAGGTCGCTGCTTCCCGTGAGGCTCCAAAATCTCGTGCAGCATGGCTTCACCCTAATATCTGTCCGTCGCCGTTTTGCCATGCTGTTTGCACGAAACCACGATGCACAGACGTAATGGCCATGTCTGGCACAAGTTGATGGAAGTTGCACATCAGAGTCCAGTCAGGGCCTCCACTCACCCCGACCACATGCTTGGTGCAGAACCCCGCGCAGAATCCTTCCACCGGTACCATCCGGGTACTGCACCACCCACTATGTCGGCAGACCCAGCTACTCAACCCCTCTCCTCTTGAAGAATTCGCCGTGCATTTGCCTCATGGCAGCTCTGGCGTCGATGCCGGCAGCGAGCCAGGCCAGGTCCATGGTGACTGGGAGAGACACCCCTTTCCTGACTTGAATTCTGCAGCCACTGGTAGAGGATCGGTTGCAGCGTGCGGCCACATATGAATTAAGTGTGGAGGCATTGTGACCGCGACTGACAGATCAAGAATTTCGCAGGGTACCCTGGAGGCTTGTGCGCACTGGTACACGGTGGACTTCCGCCTAAGTGACCAAGACCTGAAGCTGCCGCCGGGTGAGCACCTCGTTTCTGCTTCAGAGTAGACGCGGGCGTTCTTTGAAATTGAGGTCTGAAGCTACGAGTAAGGGGCGCTCAAAGCCCTTTATATCCCTTAGTCCTTGAGCCCGATTGAGCTTGGAGCCCGGTGCGAACCGCCTGAGGTACATCTACTCGCAGATTCAGGGCCCAGAGCACTCCTTCCGGTTTCGGCTGTCCGTCTACCCAAGAGGACGGTGGACCATAGCATGCTTGCCTAGGTGGTGTTGGTAGTTGTAGAAAAGGAGCCGCCGGTATTGCAATGATGCCGATGAATCAGAATTCCGGAGAATCGGGAATTGAGTGTTGAGGGCTTGGGCCGTCTGACAGGAGGATTCCCAGGCCTTTTCAGACGTAGTTTTGCGTGCAGTTTGTTTGACGTTCGTAAACATGTCGCTCTTGTCGAGCTTTTCCCCGAGCAAACCACACTTTCCCACAGGGCGGTCGGAGAGTTTTCAATGTTCATCTATTTTCTTGCGTTCAAGAAACAGTCACCAAGTATGGTCAGCACGAGCATGTGCACGTTCAAGGTAAAAAAACGCCATGCTCATGCTTGCTTGCGTTGGTGGCGACTGCCAGTCATCATCGTCATCATCATCATCATCATCACCATCATCATCACCATGATCATCAGCATAATCATTGTCAGCATCGTCATCCTCATCCCTAGAGCCGTCACTGTGGTTGGATCGACTTGAAGATGTATAAGAAGAAGCCTCTTTAGTTGCGAGTGAAGCCGATCGGCGCAGGGCATGGCGACTGGGAGGCGATCAGCATCAGTGCCTACATCGAGATCCTCCCGCCTCCTGCCTTGGCAAAGATCGACTGGGCTTGCAAGGCGCGCTTCGAGATCTCGATGTGCCTGGGCCTGATTTGGACTCCGTTTTGGCGGAAGAACGGAGCACCGACCTGAACAGAAGAGTTCGAGATCTTTCGTGCATAACCGCATCACCAAACACATGCTTGGCTCCAGGGATCCCTTGGATGTGGGACAGGACGTGCAAAGCGTTTGTCTGTCTGTCTCTCTCCATCTCTCTCAATAACATATCAATATATATATATATATACACATACACACACCATATATATATATATATACATATATTTTCATTTATTTATTTATTTATTTAT